TGTCATATCATGTTAATGAATGACCTTGATCAAACTTTATGGATCATTTATTAATTTTCTTAGATGTAAACTCATTTGGATTTCAAATAGTCAAACTGCTTTTACAGAGAGTCCACCTCATTTCGCTAAAAATTTTTAAAAAAGAAGAAATTGAATATAAAAGTATTTCTTGATTATTTATAAGCTTCTTCTGTCAATGCTTTTATTTAACACCCTTAACAAAGAAATTAATGACGGTTATTCAAAATATTGCAATTAAGCCTTTTAAATCATGTATTCAGTAGTCATTATCTTCTCTCTCTGTAAATCTAGTTTCTATAATAATTGTAAATCATTGTAACAGTTACTTAATTATAGAAGACCCGTGTCTGTTTTTTAAATATTTCTTTTTACTTTTAAGTAAATTTCAATTGGTTAATTAATAAACCTAGATTAAAATAATGTGCAGCTACCGAAAATGTCCCCTTAAAACAGAAGAGGGAGACCTTGGAAGGTCAAAATAGATGGAAAGTTAGTAAATACGGTATAGGCAAATTCTCCCTGTGCATATCTGGCAAGACAACATCCCAACTGGCAAGAAACCTTTATACAACGCAAAGCCAAAAACAACTTGAATTTCCACTTGAAGGGCATTAATTAAATATGTAATTTCTGGGTGGCGGGGAGGGGGAAACTTACAAATAGGCTTCTGTTATTTGCCTGAGTCTTACCTCTTTGAAATGGTGGGGTCAGATCAGCTATCAGTCCATTATATGGCACGCTCATTATGGAATAGCATGCCATTACACACAGATAGAATGCAATGTACAGACCTGTAGGGCCATTAAACATGGATTAACACAAAATATAAATTGGAGGATTGATTGAATACCTTAATTCAAGTTTCACTTGGTAGAGATGTTAGGCAGCTGTTTCACTTTTAAATTACTTTTAAACATTTTTGACATACTTGTAATTTCAAACTGAAGTGCAATGTGAGTGTCAACAGGAGAAACCCTGTTAACCCATTTCATTCCCTGGGTTAATTAACATGCAACTTATTCCTAGAGTATCCATACATTATACCTTTCCACCCTCACATCAGTATGAAAGTTCTTGATACTTTTCCTTATACATTTCCTATCATACTTACGAGGAGAATTTGTGTAACAATCAAGACCATTCTTTAACMYAMYTRKATTCCTTTATTCTCAAAACCTTAAATGTTTAATTCAGGGGTGATATTGTAAGGAGAATTTAGATGACAATCAAGCTTGAAGGGTTATTCAACAGAAAGGTTCTGAGAAGACTCAATCTTATCAGGTAGAAGTTGTTATCTTGATCTAACACTGAATTCTCTTCACTAATTTACAAGTATATGTGTGGCAGATAGGGGGAAGAATTAACAATCAGAAATAGGGTGTTAAACGTTTAATTTCATAAACAAACCTATATTTCCTCTTGAGTCTTCTTTCTACATTAACATACTCAGTAAGAAGCTTGTGTCCGAATTCACGGTAGAATTGTCCTCTGATTGCTCTAAGATGGTCAGGTTATAGTAAGGCAGGCATCGCCGCAGCTTTAAATCCATAGAGCACTAAATGGAAAAAAGAAAATTTCTACTGTTAACAGGTTAACTAAATGGATGCCAGATCTAAGGAAAAAATTGCATACGGAATGACGCTACGCATATCATTTACATCACAGTGGTTACTGTCACCTACCGTAACATTGGAAATGTCACTGCAAATAGAATAAAAAGAGAACACCCACATTGATGAGATTGTTGAAAACTAACATGTAACTTAATTAATACTAACACTCAAACCAGTGATATACATTATTTAAAAGGCAGTAGGTTTGAATTGGAAAAAACTGTGTATGAGGTAGGCGGCCCATGACTAATAAGGACCAACCTAGGATGGTATATAACTTATTGATATTTTCAGTTGGTTTGTTTTTGTCCACTTTGCACAAATGGAATGGAAAAAATTCCAGACTGCAGTATGTATTATAAAAAGCTGGACTGGTCATAATCTGCTATTAGCCAATCAGATGTGAGGAGATGCTTCAGAAAAAAAAATGGCACATTACTCACTGACCAACAGACTGACTGGAATCGGATAGACAAACTGAATGATTGAATGACTGACACACAGACAAACAGACAGACAGACAGACAGACTCAGTGGATGCTTACCTAACCAACTGATAGTCCAACAGACAGACAAATCAACTCAATGACCACCTGACAAAGATTGACTGCCTGTCTACTTCCTGAATGACTGACTGACTAACTGACTGACTGACTAACTGACTGACCGATAGACATGCATAGATTACTGATAGGCAGACAAAGCAACAAGCATAATATTATATGGAAAGGTTATTAAAAGCACAAACCATAGCACCAACATAGCCTAAAATGATCAAAAACTAGCTCACTAACCCCACAAAGACGTTCACCAAATAAAAATCCATTTCAAAGAAGAGAAATTACCCCATGAACAGCACATGCAACAAAAATAACATTCTCACCTTTCAATATCAGGAGCACTAAATGCCATTCCAAAAAGTGATATACTGCAAAGAAAAGGAAAACAAAACTTTCAAGCAGGTTCATGTAATCACAACCAAGCCAATGAGTGTAACACTTTCAGACAGAATGATGGTGCAAAATAATTATCATACCAAAGTAACACAGTTCCGCCAAGCATCAAAGGGCGTCTTTTTCCATACTGCGACACAAGACGATCACTAAAAACAAGGAAG